AGAGACAGGAGGGGTAGGGGTGTGCCCACCCGCCTGCCCGCCCGGTGTCAGAGAACCCAAGGTCAGTAGTTCTGCTTTCAGACCTTTGTTCACTCAGTTGGGTGAGCGCTGCTCAAGCGGCTGCTCAGCCCCACACACTGTGTTTGCTAGGATGAACACGTGAATGAGCAGCCTCAGATTCAGTAGTGGCCAGGGGCTTGAAAAAGCAGATTCAAAGTCTACACAGAGGGTCCGGGGATATAGCTCAGCAGCACAGCACCTGCCTGGCAAGCACGAGGTCCTGAGTTCAATTCCTGGTACAAAAAAAAATCTACTCAGGGCCAGACACCTTCAGGGCCTTATCCACAGTGAAAAATGTATGGTGTGCTCCCCCTCCATGCCCCTCCATGTGTAAATAACTTTAAAGAAGCCCAGTGTAATTGTGACTCTTTCTCTTAAGGGTCCCCTTTACTCCAGAAGAGGAGAGCTTGACTGTTTTCCAAAGCTTTACCTTACTACTATTGCCCCAGCTTTATTAGTGCCCTAAGGAGGCCTAGCTTGCCCTATAGGAAATCCAATCCTAAAAATAACCCCAGGAGCTCTGGACTGCATTGGCAGAACACACGAGAAGCCCGTGTGTTCATGGCCCGTGTGTTCCAGGTGCCCCAGGAGCAGCCATAGTAGTACTGAGAAATAGCACTTCATGTCCGTGCTGCAGGGAACTCACTGGGGTTTTATCTCCAGGAGCTTTGACAGAGGCAAATGCACCCACTGAAGGACTGCCATCCTTAGCACACATCTTGGGGCAGTAGGGGAACAGAAATACTTTATAGCTGAGTCTTTGCATAAGCTACTGCCTTTTGCCTGAATCAAAATGGTCAACATTGAAGAATTCCATGGCCACAAGGTAATTGCATTTTTATTTATTTTATTTTATTTTTTGTCTTTTTGAGACAGGGTCTCGCTATGCAGTCCAGGCTGGCTTTGAGCTCACTTTGTGGCCCGGGCTGGTCTCGAACTCACGATGATCCTCCTGCCTCAGCCTCCCGAGTGCTGGGATTACAGGCATGCGCCACCATGCCTGGTGGTAATTGCATTTTTATTAAAGTTTTGAGACCCATTTAGGCCAACTAGAGGACTCACTGAAGTGGTTTTGCTGTCTTCTTATAAAATATTGAATGGACTCAATCAAGTTATAGATTACAGCCACTACTCAGATTCAGGATTCTGTAAGTTTTCACCATCAATTTTACAGTGAAGGACCAGAACTATCTTAGTTTCTTTTCACTCATCATCAGTACCAATTACTGGCATTTCAAGAGAAGCCCTTCACCTGCCCACAGCCGAACAAAATGTTAAATCATTAAACAAAGTTGACTGTTCAGCAAAAACACATGAACCAAACCCCTTTGAGATATTTTCTACCAGAGTGGATGTAGCTATTATCTAAATTGCCTACCAAGAAAGGGATATGCAGTCCATGTGGTTTGGAGGGCAGGCAATTTCAGTTCACACTTGAGTTGCAGAAAGATCTGGCACAGGGCTACATTCTGGTTCTTTTAGGTAAGATGTGAAATCTGAGACACCTATCTAAATGACTGCTTTGCTGTGAACATAAGCAGGTGGCAGATACAAGAGGTGACCAGCGTGTACGATAAATGTTTACATTCTAAAATTTAATAGAGTAAAAGACACATTGCCATAAATCCTCTTCAAAACACTGCTTCTCACCTCGAACACGCTTACACCATCTCTTTTGCCACTTTCTGGAGCAATTCTGGGAGTGCTATTTTGTGAGAGTCTCTAACTGTGCTATTGTGGCTACCCTGATGTCCTGAATAGACTCAAAATATTTGCCCTTCATGGTCATTTTGACTTTAAGGGAGAACCGGAAGTCACACAGTGCCGGATCCGGTGAATAAGGAGGGTGAGGACACTGTGTCGTGTCTTTAGGAGCCTGCCCTTCTATTGGAAGGCACTCGGCAGCAGCATTCACTGTATTTTAATCACTCCTCATAAAGACATTCAGGAAAGAGGAGCTGCAGAACTGCTTCAGAAAGTGCAAGGATGATGGGATGAATATGTTTGAAGCAAGGGGGAGGATTTTGAGGGACATTAATGGCAATGTGTCTTTTTCCCCATAATAATTGTTGCTTAAATATTCACCATCATATCTATATCTATATCTATCTACATATGATCTATACTTATATCATCTATATATATACCTATCTACAGCTATATGTCTGTTTGAGACAGGATCTCACTATGCAGTTCAGGCTGGCCTTGAACTTACGTTGTAGTTCAGGCTGGTCTTGAACTCTCAGTGATCCTCCTGCCTCAGCCTCCCGAGTGCTGGGATTACAGGCATGCACCACCACGCCTGGCCAACCATGTATTTTGATTGTACCTCCTAAGTGCTTAGAATACACACAGCTTCCTGTGATTTTGTCAGTGATTCTGGGAAGAAGGAAGTGAAGATGCTGTCACTGTTATTTACAGAAAAGGTCCAGATGTGCCCTGACGGCCAGGGCAGTGGGCCTTCCCAATGGCTGCAGAGTTTCCACAAGCAAGATCCTTCGCTATGACTATTTTACTTTCTTGTTCCAAAAGTTAGATGAAGAGCACTGACAAGAAATGACATGACCCATGGAAGTATTTCGCAGGGAATAGAAAGCTGGATGGCAAGACCGGAAGGAGGCACAGAGCCTGGGAGGTGGGAGTCCAGGGCAGCCCGAAGCGCAAGTACCTCGGCAGCTTCACTGAGTCCCATCAGAACAGCTGAGGTCTGTAAGAGAGACAGAGCCCAAGGTGAGGCCCATGCAGTCAAGGGACAGCATGGTGGCCACCAACACCAACATCCGAGGAAGCTGAAATCCCTTCTGTGCAGTGGTGCAGTGTTTTCACACAGCCTACACGCAGCCTCTGCACAGCTCTACATCCTCTGTGGATCACAGGTAACACGTGGGACAATGCTAGGAAGTCGTCATGCTGCACTGTTTAGGGAATGACGACAGGGACGTCAGCATGGTCAGGACTCACACGGTTTCTAAGGAATGCGCAGATAAGTCTGTGGAGATGGATAGGGCTGACTGTTCTGGCTGAGGATAAAACTCGTTCCAAAAGACAGAGGACTGGTAGAATGCAAGGGCAGGGACCTGGCTGTAACTCACTTGGCTCTGATCCTGGCAGAGCTGCTTAACTCATTTAGCTCAGCAGCACAGCGCCTGCCTGGCAAGCACAAGTTTGTGAGTTCAATTCCTGGTACCGGAAAAAAACAAAACAACAACAAAAAAAGAATTTAGACAGATTTCTACAAATGGCTGCCACCAGTGGTGCCCAGTGGCTCTAGTCACCCCGTGGGGTGGGAGGAAGACTTCCTGCACCCACTGCAGCCCCATTGTGTTTGTCCTCCCACTGCTTTCCCTTCCTGAGACCTGTGGGGAGCAGGTCTTCTTTCTGCACCATTATTCTCTAACATTTCCCAAGCCTGCCCCCATAGATTCCTCGGTTTGATCTGAGTTTCAGGGAAACGATGACTTATTTTTAGTGTACCTTAATATTGCATGGGACTCAACAATAAGCCCAAGCATCCTGTAGTTTTGGTTTCCTGAATACGGCAACTGTCTTTAATCATTCAACCATAATTTCTATTTCTCTCAATCTGCAATCCGGGCTCCTGCTGCCTGATTCTTTAGCAACCTCTAGATAGAAAGAAGGATGTGGCAATGCCAGGAGCTGGCAAGGATATGAAGCAGCCAGGACTTGCAGATGTCACTGATAAGAATATGAATTGGTACCATCATCTGGAAATATTGCTTGGTTTTCCACCAAACCGAGGACCCAGTACTTCTACTCCTTGATATAAACACGCAGAAATGCATCTGTATGTCCACCTACAGATCACAGCAGCATTATGTTGTTCATAATAGTCCAAACTGGAAATGATATGATGATAGCATGGTAAATAAATACACTGTGGTATATTTATATGATAGAATATTATCTAGCAGAAAGAATAAATGAATTTATTCTATGCATAATGTTGTTGAATTCCATAATCAAAATCTTCCATAATCGTAATCCCAGCTGCTAGGATAAGGCTGGAGGATCACAAGCGCAAGGCCAGCCTTGGCAACTTAGACTCTGTCTGAAAATAAAAGGGCTAGGGATGTAGCTCATAGTTGTTTGATCATCAGTACTGATAGATTATAGATATAGATAGATAGATAGATAGACAGACAGATAGATAGATAGATAGATAGATAGCAAAACAAGCCAAGTACAAATGAATCAATAATATAAAATTAAGCTAGAGTTCAAACACAGGCAAGACTCACTTGTGTATTCTAAGAAGGTGGAGGGTGCCTCTGGGTGGGGTACACAGGAGAGGTTGTGTCACAGGAGCCTCCAGGGCACTGACCCTGTCTTTGTTGAACTGGGATGTGGTTACAAGGGCATTTTCATCATTAACATTCATCCAGGTCCATTTGCATATTATGTTTCAATTAAAAGTTTATTTAAATAGAAAAAGTAGTACAACTGGTGAGGTCAAACTTTCCCCCCAGAACTGATGATCAGAGAGAGAGAGAGACAGAGGCAGGGGGTGCACAGAGGAGAGGAGCACACAGCCTGTGAATGAGC